TTTCTAAAAGAAGACCTCTGGAGTGCACTCGTTTTTCTTCGATATATATATATATATAATTTTTTTTTTTTTTTTTTCCCCGCATATATTGTATAGATGGAAACTATCAGTTTGATTTAGCGAAATCTGAATGAAAAATGTGAGCTAGAGTAAGACTTGAGATACCTTTGGGGAAAGACTAATCAAGATGCACACAGCAGATGCCCAGTTTCCGGGAAATGATATACTTGGGGCTCTTGTCATGAATACAGCAAACTGCTGTTGGAAACAATACTTCCTTCTGTTTTCTAAAGGTTAGCTGTTCAGCTTTGTAAAGCTGTCTCTTGTAAAGTATTGTAATTTGTCACACCTTTGTGTAATTTTCTACACATGCATGTTATATTCATACAGCGTTTACATGTCTGTGTACTTGTCTACACAAGTAAATCTAGTAACCTATATTGCTACCATATGATGTATATCCACACAGATTGCATGATCAGACTTGCTTCATAAAGAACACACTAGCTTCACAGATAGTTAAAGGACCACTATAGGCACCCAGACCACTTCAGCTTAATTAAGTGGTCTGGGTGCCAGGTCCAGCTAGGGTTAACCCTTAAAAAAAAAAATAAAACAGCAGTTAATCCAGCCTCCAGTGGCTGTCTCTTGACAGCCGCTAGAGGCGCTTGCATGCTTCTCACTGTGAAAATCACAGTGAGAAGACACAAGCGTCCATAGGAAAGCATTATGAATGCTTTCCTACAAGACTGGCTGAATGCGCGCGCAGCTCCTGCCGCACATCCGCATTCAGCCGAAGAGGAGGAGAGCTCCCCGCCCGGCGCTGGAGAAAGAGGTAAGTTTAACCCCTTCCTCTCCCCAGAGCCCGGCGGGAGGGGGACCCTGAGGGTGGGGGCACCCTCAGGGCACTCGTTTTCCTGGCACTATAGTTTAAGTCTAAAAACTATTTTCAGGGCCCCTTCTAGTTTCCAGTCTAAAAAAAAAAAAAAAACCTTAATATTGGTGTGCAAAAAATGCTTTAAAATAGTGCTGCAACTGATATTTCTGAAAATGTACACGTTAACTTTTATAGATCAAGGATACCTGCGGCTTATAGCAGACGGGACCTTCATTAATTTTTATTTATTTATTTTTTAAAGATATGTGACTTTAATTGTAGTTGCGACTCCATTGGGAAACTTATGGTTGGCTGCCTATATAATGTGGTCCACTTGAAAAACATTTGCAGTGAAGGTAAGCATAAAGCTCCTTTCATCCAACCCCAAATTAATAACTTGGCCAGGAGGACCTTTGTATGATTGACAGAGGCTAGAGTTTTTCAAACTTTAAAAACGTTAAAGCTTTTAATTAAAGCTAAAAACCTTGGACTGTATTGAAATTTCTGACATTTCTCATCATCAGTGGTTTGCAACAGCTGATGAGAACAAGCCTTCTATCAACAGATGTCTATTGTACCTTACTGCTTGTGTAAATGATTTATCTACAAAAATTCTTGCGGGTTCCCCACAAATGGGTAAATGTTTAAAAAAAAAAAAAAAAAAGAGACCCCAAAAATGACAGTGATGCTATAATTTGCTCAATGTTGTCCAAGCGCTATCATTAGAACTGAATGTGGGTCACAGCACTTTTTTAAAAGGTACCGGCTAATTGCTAACTTTAGCTCCTATTTAGTGCAGTGAGTACTATAGTATGCCCTAATCAATTTGCCTTGGAAGAAAAAATAAATATACGTATGTGTGGTAACGCACAGGTGTACGAACACCGCCAATTTATTACCCCCATAATAAGTGGGTATATAAGTAAGACCAGCAAACCAGAGACCATTATCACTTTTTACTCGGCTGAGGAAGCCACGACTCAGTGGTGAAAAGCGTTCTTTAAAGGACTTAATGGCCACTGTTCCTGCTAGGTGCATTAGCTCTCCACTTGTGAGTGTTTAATTTTTCTATGCATATCTCCTTATTTTGATGAAGGTCTGCACTATGATGTGTTATTTATACTTCTAGGTTACTTGGATTGTCTGTATGTATTCAAGGTTTTATTTTGATAATTTTAATAAGCGCTACACTACCTATTTCTAATATTTTTAATATATATTTGTGTTCAGACTAAACTTTGTTATTGCGAGTTTCATGAAAAACTATTTTGATCAAAATGGTGTGGACATGTGCATATGCAAGTATTAAATAATGATTTGACACATCACTTCACGCTAAAATGTTCACTTTTTATTAGGATAATGGGAATTTAGGAAAAGTCTGACAGTGAAAGGGAGGCATTGCAGGAAAAAATTAAAATGCAAAGACTACGAGGGGAAGGAAATGGCATGGATGAACAGGTGGGAATATGAGCATGAATATATAATTTGTGCAGTGGCAGGAGGGGATGCAATGTTGGAGGGAATAAGATACGTTTGATGGAAGCAGTGAAGCATGTGATGCTGCAGTTAAGAGAGCAAGATGTAATGAAGTGGGGAAAAAATTGGTGAAGTAATTCAAGCTGGATGCTATTGTATCCCTTTTCCTAACTCCCCCCACCGCCAACAAAAACAAACAAGAAAAACTCTTTCCGGTTTATTTTTCATAGTCTTATACAAGGACTATGCACCTCATTGAAGTGGTCTGGGACCTTGCAATGTAATTCTGAGAAACTGCCCAAACAAGCACACAACTTGTTAAATATACCTTTATTGAGCGAAGATAGTTAAACAAGTCCTATACAAATGGCATGGTTACAATATCTTGATCTTAACTTCCTAGTTTCTTACACTGGAGATAGCAGCAGCAAAATGGTTCATATGAATGTTGTTGTTGTACAGCTCTCCACTACAAACTCAAATTTTAAAAGGATAACTGACAAATACACAGAGGAGGGAATCAAGTGTTTTGAATGTACTCGAGAATGGGAGTTGTTTGGGCGGAAGAGCATAGTAGGTGGGGAAAATCCTCAGAAAGGTTGTAAGGGATGAGGCATTATGGGGGAAAGCTGACAGGATTATTTTTGAAGGAATACAGAGACGAGCCGAAACTAGCTGCCAGAGATAGCTGTTCCTCTCCAAGTTTAATATTTAACAATTGGATATCTATATGTTGGTCTCATGTAGGGCTTCTGGGTATGCAAGTATTATGTTAAAGATTGTAGCTGGGTTAGAGGTAGGGGTCTGTTATTCCCACTTGTGCAGGGAGTGGAAAGGTAAGTACAAACCTAAGCCACCCTTGCTCCTCAGCACTGGCATCCTCTTCCTCATTCATATGTTATGCTCCTGGTTGTTTCACATGCCAGGAATATATGGTTCTATTTGGAATTCCAATGATAATCTTGGCATTTGAGTGATATGTTGCCTTTTTCCATCAGCCATCATGACCAACAACTAATGTCACAAGGCAGGGACTGCTTTCACATCCCGCCATTTCACATGTGTATCTCTTGTATTGAAATTTCAGCCCTAAAGTTTTGCTTGATTTTTTTTTTTTTTTTTGATTTTTTTTTTGTTTCCCATATACATATGCACTGTGCAAACATGCTAATGCTGCAAACTATTTTCAGGGCACCTTCTAGTTTCCAGTCTGCACTTGGCCAAGAGAATTTAAGGGCTCAAGTGTTCACTATATCAAGACTGCAAAGTCTGCAGTTTCTACTCATTTATTTTATCATTAAATATTTTATGATATACGTATTTCCATTAAAATAGAGGTAATTACAGGTTTACTATATTGTAGCCTAGCCTGAAAGAGTCTGTGGTGAGGCAGATGAAATACTGTAGTGGTACCAAGTTAAAACAACAAAATGTCATGTGTTGCATGTGTACACATAAGAGAACAAATTGTATTGGCCTGCTAAAATAACATGGCTGGAAGGAAATGAGTAGCTATTTACTTTTTGGCCCTTGGAATCTGTTGCTTTTTCAGTCATTAAAAAAAATAAAGGAAAAACAAGTTACCTGTACTCTCTCCTTAATACCTATGTATTTTTAAACAAATTGAGTTTTTTAAGTTTTGTCCAATGGCCATGAGATGATAAGCCCACCTGCCAACATCAAGGTAGACCCCCTCCCCCTCAGGTGGGTCCTAACTCTAACCATTCACCTTGCTTCTTTGAGCTTCTGGCAAAGATTTCTGAGAGAGAGAGAGGGGTATTTTTTTATGTACACCCCTATATATTATTAACCCTTAATAGGGAACACATGGGATGGGCGGTTGCATTGTAACAAGGCTGAGTGATACAAAAAATAAATGTGATTATCTTACAAATTACACTGTTTTAATGTTCTATTTTAACAACATGTATCAACAAAAGCAGTCACCACCCAAGGAACCACAAAATACTTTTAAGCAGAGGAGATACTAAATCACTTGGATTTATTACTGAATGGATTCTATTACATAAATATTAAAACACACATAGTGTTGTGTTAATGAGCCCACATCACAGCTGAGAGATGAACCCTTGAAACGAAGTAATTTTTCTGCACACAGAGAATCCTCTTAAGTCAATATCTCAATTCTAATGCACGACTATTAAAAACCCATATAACACAGCTCTGTATTCCACATACATTACTTCAATGCATAGTATAAACTTGTAAAATGTATTGCTCAACTAGTCAGCTGCCAAAGAGACACTAAATATTGTTACCAATGACTGTAGAAAGTCTGTGTGTTGGCTCACGATCACTTGTTGGAGGATTGTGTATGTGAGAGAGAGATAAGAACATGGTAAAAGAATAACATGCACGTAAGCTATGCATGTTCTGTCTAAGAGGAGAATTTTGGGGGCTCTGTGTATGGGTCTTAGGAATTACCAAGGAGGACACTTTGTTCTACAGGGGGAAATTGGTTGAATAGTGAAAAGGACAAACCGGGTTGGTAGGGAGAAATCAGTAGGAGAGAGTTTGGTAGATTATGTCTAACCTTGTCAACATGTAACAAAATAAAGAAATCTACATTGAAGAAAAACTTTTTTTTTTTTTTTTTTTGTCCCCAGCTTTCTGATTTGTCATCATGATTCCTGTTGCTGAGTTTAAGCAGTTTACAGAGCAGCAACCTGCCTTTAAAGTCCTTAAACCCTGGTGGGATGTCTTGGCTGAATATATCACCATTGCCATGCTCATGATTGGGGTCTTTGGCTGCACCTTACAGGTAAGAAAACATCTCTCCCTGCACCTAATGTTTCATATTTTTAAGTGTGATTTTCTCCCAAATGTGTCAGTGTTCTAGTGTGTCATTCAACTAACTAGTGAAGTCCCTACCTACTAAAAAAGTGTCAAGATGTAAGGAAGAAATTGCACAATCTAGGTTATTGCGACATATAGATAAAATACTACTTATTCATAGTGGTTACGGCATGGCATACAATTGCCATAACACCTGTTACAGTGAATGATTACTCTCATTGCCAATCCTGCAACCTGCAGCGATCTTCAATCAAGGGTCTATTGTTAGATCCTGGAGCATCAAAAGACAATTCTGTGTCACTGTTGTTCTCTTGCACATACACAAAAGTACATCCAAGTTCTGTGGACAAGAAATCAGGATCCACCATAGAGCTTACTCATGCAATGAGCAAAAGGAAGTTCTTGATCAGTGCCTAGAGAACACTTGGACTTGATAAAAGTTGATGGACAAAGCTCTGTCTTTTGACAATCTGAGCTTGATCCATAAGTAAAAATATAACCTCTGCCCAGTCTGCTTCCTAGCTGCTTACCCTAGAACGATTCGGACCTTAGTTGCCGAGGCTTGACTGGGTTCTGTCTGGAGTCTTTTCACCTGACCTGGCTGCAGCTCTCCTTTCAGGCAGGTATTGTTCCCTCTTCTTATTCTGCTGCAGCCCTTCTTCCAGGCAGGTACCCACCTCTGCCTGCAATGTGATTCCTATTGCCATTACAAAGGCACTTGTGGCTCTCAAGCCTGGCTCTCTTGATTTAGCCCAGGACTAGAGGGATCGTGCAGAAAGCCAAAAGGCCCAAAGACTGTCACTGGGATCCCTAAAAATCCACACACGCAAGTTCTAAAAGGAACTAAAATCCAATACTTACTTTGGACTAGCCAATATGTTCATTACATAAACCTTGCTGTGACAAACTCTATAAAATACAATTAACCAAATCAAAAAACATACAGGAACTTAGTGACATAACAATTCTAAAGGTATGGGGAAGACGATAACTAACACAATATCTATCCTGCCTGCAGAATTAGCAATATGCAATTCTACCTAAATATGCAAATTAGCAAGCCTTGCTATTCAGGTAATGCATATAGCAACAGGTGGCACTGTACAGGCTCCACAGCCATATCCACCAAGTTGATTGTAAGCATTAGCAAGGCAGGATCACACACAAACATTTAACCCCACACACCGTGCACCTGCAATGGACACAGGGTGACTTGAACATAGGAATCATCCAAAGACCTAATTTAATTGTCCATCTTAAACTCCTAGTGATGGTGACTACTGTCACAATCCCCTACTTTGTCTTATATCTTTTGATTGAAATATAACTTTATGAAATAGTCAGTGACAGAGACAGAATTCTTCATTTTGTTTTATGTAATGCATTAATAGTTTTCACTTTTCTCATTACTTAATATATCTTGTTTGGCACTCCCTACTTTCATGTGTTGTATAATAGTATGTGCCTAAGTCACTTTCTGAATTTAATTTTTTTTTTTTTGTGTGTGCATCTTTCACAGATAACACAAGACAAGATTATTTGCCTCCCTAATCATACTTCAGCTGATGAGGTTTCCCAAATCTCCTGCAAAGAGTTTACTCAAAGTACTCCACCCACCAATTCTAGTGATGATGAATTCCCAACTTCAACACCACCTCCAGTTGTTACTTCTGGTTCTACCCGTGAGATGACTGGCCTGCGTAACAATCTGGATCTTCAGCAGTACAGCTTCATCAACCAGATGTGCTATGAGACTGCATTGCACTGGTATGCAAAATATTTTCCATATCTAGTTGTTATCCACACACTTATCTTCATAATCTGTGGAAACTTCTGGTTTAAATTTCCTGGCACAAGCTCTAAGATTGAACACTTTATTTCCATTTTGGGTAAGTGTTTTGATTCCCCATGGACAACTAGAGCTTTATCTGAAGTGTCAGGAGAGTCCAATCAAGAGAAGACAGCAGATCGTGAACTTTCCAAGCCCAGTTTTGAGGAAAATAGTCCTTCCTCCACTGAGCTTCCAGTTCCTGATAAATTGGTGGCAGAGACTGCATCGGCTAGTGTACTAGACAAGAAAGAAGGAGAGCAAGCAAAAGCACTGTTTGAAAAGGTGAAGAAATTTCGTCATCATGTGGAAGAAGGGGACATATTGTATTTAATGTACATGAGACAGACTGTGTTAAAAGTCTGCAAATTTGTGCTCATCACCATATACAATGCAGCTTTGGTAGGGCAAATACACTTTATTGTACCCTGTAGTGTCCACACAGAGGACATGACCGGCTACAACAGCTTCTGCTGCAACCACACTAAAGCTCATCTCTTTTCAAAACTGGCTTTTAGCTATTTGTGCTTTTTGGGAGTCTATGGACTGACTTGCCTTTACACACTATACTGGCTATTCAGGCGCCCACTGAAGGAGTATTCTTTCCGGTCAGTGAGAGAAGAAACTGGAATAAGTGACATTCCTGATGTCAAGAATGACTTTGCTTTTGTTCTTCATCTTATAGATCAATATGACTCTCTCTACTCCAAAAGGTTTGCAGTGTTTTTATCAGAGGTGAGTGAGAGTAGGCTGAGACAACTTAATTTGAACCATGAATGGCCAGCGGAGAAGCTGAGGCAAAAACTTCAGCACACACCTGAAGGCCGGTTGGAGCTACATCTTTTCAAGCTACCAGGTTTGCCCGATTCAGTCTTTGAGGTGACTGAAACAGAATCCCTTAAGTTGGAGATGCTTAGCGAGGCACTCATCCCTCCTCTAGTAACCAAATTAGTCCGACTTGAAGAATTATCCCTTTTCAATTGCCCAGCAAAAATACAGCATGCTTCCCTTGCGTACCTCAGGGACCGCCTTAGAGTCCTTCAAATTAAGTTTGAGGACATCAAGGAGATACCACTCTGGGTCTTCAGTCTTCGAGCCCTAGAGGAGCTACACCTGTTTGGCTACCTATCCCAGGACATGTCAAAAAATGTAACACTGGAAAGCCTGCGAGAGTTAAAAAGTCTTAAGGTGTTAACACTCAAAAGCAATCTCTCTAAAGTGCCTCCCACTGTCACAGATGTGGCTGGCCATCTGCAGAAACTTATTATACACAATGATGGAACAAAGCTTTTAACTCTCAATGCTCTGAAAAGACTGTCTCTACTCAAAGACCTAGAGTTGATCCGTTGTGATCTAGAAAGAATTCCTCATGCAGTTTTCAGTCTGAACAACCTACAACTCCTGGATTTAAAGGAGAATAACCTGCACACCATAGAGGAAATTATAAGTTTGCAGCACTGCCGCAAACTAAGTGTTCTACGTCTGTGGCACAATCAAATAGCCTACATTCCAGATCACATCCGGAAACTCAAGAGTTTAGAAGAGCTGTCTTTCAATCGCAACAAGATTCTTGTATTGCCACCTCAACTTTTCCTATGTACCAAGCTCCGTCATCTTGACCTTTCCTTCAATGAGATTAGAGAGCTTCCCCCAGAGGTTGGGGTTTTACAGCTGCTTCAGTTTCTCTCATTGACTGGTAACTTTTTAGAAGAACTTCCCAACGAGCTGTTCTTCTGTCAGAAGTTAAAAACTCTGAAGCTGGGACAGAATAGGTTGGCAAGTTTATCCCCAAAGATTGGATCTCTGACCGCTCTGGTAAAGCTTGAGTTAAAGGGAAACAAGATAGATTTCCTGCCCCCAGAGATAGGTGGATGTGTTAGCCTGAAAAAGTCTGGCTTAGTGGTAGAACAGTTGTTAATTGACACACTCCCAAGTGATGTCAGAGAGAAACTGAGTGAGGACTGAAGATGCAGATGAAACAGAGTATGGTGATAAGCTTTAATAGTCTAAAAGCAAGGGGTATAACAAAAAAGGCAGTTTGAGAACAGAAGTGAGAGCAGGTAGAAATTTGAAACCATAAAAAAATAAATTTTGACAACTAAACAGTGACCTTTGTCATTATAAGAAAAGTGTAATTTTAGAGCAGAACATAGAAAAAAAAAGTTAACATTAGAGAATAGCACAAACTGTTCCCACTGGGACGTCTAAAGATTGATAAGCAGGATCATTACTCTTAGTAGTTGGGCTAAGTGTGTGCTCACTAGACTGCCTTCTAAATTAGAGCCAAAGCACCTAAATTATGAGTGAGATTTTATTCCTCCAAAAGGGGGCTGTGCAACGTTCCAACTTCATTGCAGGTTTAAGTGTGTCCACGACCACTTTGGTAGAATGAAATGTCCATGTATAATTATGGTGCTGCAGCTCTTTTGTGTTTGGGAATTCTGTTATTCACACCCCAGTTTTTGACCCATTACGAGAGAGCAGTAGACGCTAGTGACTTTTAGATTAGCTATTTTATTAATTGCCTAGAAAAAACATCTAGAAGAAGCACATAAATGTTTCTCTTGTATGGACTTGCCCCTTTACTAAGGTCTTCTAAGTGAACATACATTTAAAAAAATTAAATACTGCAAATATGCCTTCAAGGCAGGTGTAAGACTTGCCACATCTCAAGAAACTGGAACACTCCTAAAAATGAAATTACTTTGGACAAAACCGGTTTTATTTTTTTGGAGGGCTAGGTGCAGCATTGGGTAAATGGCACCTAACCTGATTTATCCACTACTTGGGTTACTTAAACAGCCACAACAGCATTGGGTCAATGTACACTTTTATTTTTTATTTAAATTATTTGATGAAATAATAAAACCTTTTATAAAATGCATGCATGTGGTTGTCAGTGAGTGTGAGGAGTGGGTGCTGCTTCACTTAAATGTTAAAATGCTTCAATGTTCAAGACACCAGCCAGGGTATTGGCAAAGAATGATGTGCAGCCAGATTAAATCAATGCTTGATATGAAAGGGATATAAAGGCACATACAAGATAATTATTTTAAAAGCACAATATTATGTGTTAACAGCTTATTGATCAAAGGACAGCTCTGTCATTTTAGGTTCAAGCACGTCTGTTTGTAGATTGTTGCAAAATTGGGAAGCGTTTAAATTATTTTTTCCTCCTTTTGGATCAACAACAGAAATGTAAGACTTAACTTAAAGGGACACTATAGTCACAAAAACCACTTTAGCTTAATGAAGCAGTTACGGTGTTCAGATAATGCCTCTGAAGTTTCGCTGCTCGATTCTCTGCCATTTAGGTGTTAAATCACGTTTGTTTCTGTTTATGCAGCCCTAGCCACACCTCCCCTGGCTGTTACTGACCGCCTGTATGGAAGAAAAATGGTTTCACTTTTAATCAGTTGTAACTTATTTTTTATCTATTTCCAGCTCTCTAAGTTGAGCTGTAAACACACACAAGAGGCTCCTGCAGAGTCTAGCAAGCTATTAAGAAGTGTTAAATTAAACAGAATTTGCAATAAAGTATGTATATGTCATGGTACCTGATCGGCACCCTAAGAGTGACCGCACCTGATCGGTACTTATCTGCAGTGTAATAACGCCGCCCACAATGACGTCACTAGTGATGTGAACGTGCGTGCGGCATCTCGTTTTTGCCATGCATGCACGTTCTGGGGTCATGGAAACCAAATTAGCAAATGGTAGGATTTACTGGGTTATTTAAACTCAAACCTGCAGTTGTTCAGTGCCCTGTCGTGGTTTCCATCCTGTTGGTTACCCGAGAGCGTTACTGATTCTGATTATTGATTTTTGATCTTGGCTTGACTTCCCATATTTCTGGTATCCCTGACCCGTTGGCTTTGTTCTTTACGTATTTGTTCCTTTCTGTATTCCTGACCTCGGCTCGTGACTGTTTATTCTATTACGTTAATTCCAGCCATTCTAAGGCCCGGTAATACGTTGTTTTGTTACTGTTTGAATTTCTTACGCGTTTTACTTAATTCTGCATGTTGGGCCACTGGTTCGTCCTGACATTACGACAGGGCCATGGACCCTGCAGAGTTAAGTCAATACATGTTAGCTTGCGAAAGAAGGCTGGAAGATGATCACCTCCAACTGGAGGATCAACAAGCTTACCTCCATTGGAGGATCAACAAGCTCCTACAGCCCCTCCTTGTCACGTATTCATCCGCTTATAGAAAAGTGGTTAATGACAATTACTGTCCACACAGGAAAAGTTGTGCCGAGCAGCAACCTAATCCACAGAAGGGTTAATGCTGAGCAGCAATTATGCAAATGAAACCTGGTAACTGACTTTGGGGTCAAAGGCCGGTTACAGCCTATCAGAACTAAAGGAGGGGTATTTAGGCCCAGTTCTCAGCCTGCTCAGTGCCCTGTCGTGGTTTCCCTTGTGGTTGTCTGAGAGCGCGTTCCTGTTTATAGTTTTCTACCTGGTTTTTGACTTTGGCTTTGTTTATTGACTTCTCTATATTCTGGTATCCTGACTCCTGGCTTTCCTCATCGCTGTGTCCCTTTCTGTGTTCCCTGACCTCGGCTAGTATTTTTGACTATTCTTTGTACGTTAAATCCGGCCATTCTAAGGACCGGTAATACGTTACTTATTTGTCATCCGTGCTGTACAGTTCTACGTGCTGGATCAAACCGTAATCCTGACACTCCTGTTGCTGTTGTACCCATAGTATACAAGGCTCCATCTATATCCTTCTCATCACTCCCTCATTTTGGTGTTTTTTTTTTTTTAAACCAAATTGAGTACCACTTTGAGGACTCCTCCGGCTCCTTTCCCTCCGATAGATCAAAGATTGGTTAGCTGATGAATCAATTGATAGGAAAGGCTTTAACCTGGGCAAATCCTTTATGGGAGAGCAACAAGTCTCACATAGGAATATGCGGAATTTCTAGCTGAGATCAAACTAACATTTTGAATCATTAGGTAAAAAAATGCGGAAAAAGCCCTCATGCGCATAAGGGCTTTATCTAATTTATGCAATGGAGTTCTGTACCCTCACCTCAGCGATGGATTGGACAAACCATGTCCTCGTCACCGCTTTCACTGAAGGCCTGTCCGATACCATTCTAGATAAGGTTGCTGCCAGAGACTTGCCAGAAACACTTAAGTATATAACTGAAATGATGAAAGGGAAAGGATCATAAACAAACCAAGAAGAAATAGCACTTTTCTTGCTCCTCGTTTCTCCGACCCTGTTCTTCCCAAACCCCCTATTGTAGCTGCTGAAGCTGAACCTATTCAGTTGGGAATTATGAGGTTATCTGAAGCAGAGAGACTATTTAGAAGGAGTGAGGGTCTGTGTATGTATTGTGGCAGGAAGGGACATATGAGGGTAAATTTGCTTGATTCGTCTGGAAAACCCTCGCACCTAAGTATCATTTGGGGACCGGCCTTAGGTGTTATGTATATGTTCCCCACTATGCCTCTTTCAAGACTTTCTGTTACCATTCTGTTACACAACCTTGAGGTCAATTGCAAAGCTCTGTTAGACTCAGGAGCAGCAGAAAGCTTTATTGATGCTAACTTTGTGTTCACACACAATACCTCTAAGGGGGAGAGCTCAACACCTTTGGCCGTTGAGGCCAAAGATGGGTAATGAGCAGATTCCTAAGAGGTCTGCCATGAGACCTTACCTGTTTCATTGCAAGTAGGGGCCTTGCATAAGGAACCAATCACTTTTTAGGTTATCTCCTCACCCTCTTGTCCCATTGTACTTTGTTTTCATGGCTAATCCAACATGATCCACCTATAGATTGGAGGAAAGGGGAGATACTAAAGTGGAATGTTGTAACAGATATTTAAAATCTATAACAAAAGAATTGGGTACATACCCTGTCTTTCCTGGAAAGTAAAATCATGGAGAGATATATATATATATATATATATATATATATATATATATATATATATATATATATATATATATATATATATATATATATATATATATATATACACACACACAAAAAAAATTCTTGCTCGGGTACCAGATCTCAAAAGGTTTTACCCATACGTGATATAAGCAACTCAAGGATAGGTAATTACAATTATTAAAAACCGTTACTAGATATAGGCACTTAATGCTAATATGTGATCAAAGAAAAAAAGGGAAGTCTAAGGAGCCTGCCTAATAAGTGCTAGGTCTAGGTGCTTCAATCAATATTCAGGATATGAAGCAGCTGCTCATGTATTTATGCAGATAGATCTATATCGATCTATCAGAGCAAACCAAAGCTATGGTAAATGGATAAATTGTAGTAGGTGGCTGCAAGTAACAAAATGAGTATTTTAAAGAGAGATTAGCTGAAGGGTATAAGGGTGAGAGGAGCCCCTTTTATTTGTGTAGTCCTCTAACAGGGGGCTAGAGGTGAGATGGAGATTGGGATATGAGAATTACCAGAAGATAAATTATCAACACTCATCCCCTAAGGTTACTCCTACTTCTATGTGATGTATACAGCAACATATCTGGGAATAGCAGAGTGAAACCTAAGTGGGTACAGAAAAAAACTTGTATCCCACTAGGGCAGAAAACGTGCAAATTCCAAATTATGATACTAAAGCTGGTATAGTTTGAGGTAAAAACAGATAGGGTATCCCCCACACTTCTCTCTGAGCTTAAAGTCTTCAAAGTAGCTTAATTATGCAGATATGATATGGCTGGAGACAAAGGGATTTTAGATTAATATAACAAGTAAATATCTCCCCCAATCTCTAGTGTAGCTCAATTCTGTAACACAGTATCTGGAAAAACTGGATGTGTATAATGAATATATAATCCCCCCCAAGAGAGTTTCCCAGTCAAAATACTTTTATACTGTGCTGCAAAGTCTATCTCACACTGCCTAGTCTGCTAGTATAGCAGAAGTAGTCCCACACTGCCCTAGTAAAAAGCTTGGATTTCTCAGTCTCTAAAGCC